TGAGAAATTGCGATCTATAGCACAATGAATCACAGAATTTATTAGAGCCACAGAAAGACAAATGTTTTGCTAAAAAATGCACAATACACAATCTTCCAACCTAGGATGAAGTCATTATGTACATTAACAATAATTTGGGACAAATATAATGTAATTTAATGGAAAATGATGTGAGTGGCGCTGAGGCGCGGCAGGATTATGAACAGCGCCCGGAGTCGGGATACGCATACAGTCATGGAAAACAATGTGTGGGAATTTTAAAGACGTGGTGTGGCGCGGTGCAGGGCTGCACATGTCGTCCGGTGTGCGACCAGCTTAAGGCTGGATAGCCTCTTGTTTCAGAGGTGGAATGGTCAAAGATGACTTTTAGAAGAGGACACCGTAAGCTAGGCCGGTAAGTTTTTCCCCCGACGAGGGTAGGGGGAGAGGGCTTAGGCTCAAGAGTCACGGTTTGCTACTGATATATATATGTATGTATTTATGTATGTATATATGACCATAATTAGGGCTGCACAATTAATCGAATGCGATTAATCGCAATTGTCATGCACATTTTGTCAGTAAAGCAGGTTCTGTGATTAGTAGTAAATCTCCATCACCTGCTTTCAGGTGGAGCAGCATTTACTACACAGAGCCGTAGTTCTCTGACAAGCTACGCAAAATCGCGTTCATAATCGCAGATTATGAAATCGACAAAATCGTTCGCGATAATGACAGCTGTTTGCGTATCTTCTCAGTGAACTACAGCTCTGTGTAGTAAATGCTGCTCCATCTGAGAGCACGTGAAAATACCACATTTAATAACATGTTTTTACTCCAAACTCACTTCATAACGTCAGTCGAGTGTTTGAAATAAATCCTTCTGTGAGATGATGTGGCTTCTTACACAGAATAATTAAGGCACACAATATTTCATTGTATTCTAAGCAGTGATAAAGGCTATGTCGATTAGCATTTCATTATAGATATACTTTATTATGATGAAAATTATAATAAGAACTCAGATAAACCATATATTGCCATAGTTGTGTGTTTATTAGTCACGTTGAATCAATGAAAGCAGTTAAATCTTCTGTTTATTCTAGTGAGGTTTCGTTCATGAACGAATCTTTTAGGTGAATCTTTTCGTTCACGTAATCCATTGACATTTCTCGTTCACTGAAATTCCTCCCTCCAGAGCAGCGCATGTGCAGCTCGGTGAACTGGGTAGCTCGGTTGACTATTTCATCCTGTCAAAGAACGAGTTTGAGATGTGACGGAGCACGTGATTTGTTGTAGTGAACGAATACGCCCTTCACTGAACGAGTTTCTTTTGAGTCTGAACAAGATCGAGAGATCTTCTCGTTCATGAACGAAATGACAGAACTGGTACATGTCGTCCGTGAACGAGTTGAATGAACTGGTACATCTCGTTCCTGAATGAAATGATGAACTGGTACATATCTTGTTCATGAACGAAATGAATGAGAGTGTACCGGGTCAGTCGGCCATTTAGCACGTCAATCTCGATTAGCAATCAGCAGAAAGCGGATGCAAAGTGCAGTTATAGGTACTGTGCACATACGCTTGTTTATATATTCATATTTAGCATACAAAACATAACTCCATGTTTAATCCTCGATTTATGAATGTTTAATTGTGTGACGAAACAATTAAAATGTTAATTATGCAAGAAAACCTTGTGCTTTGGTCATCTGAACAACTTTAGACTTTATTTAATGATTATTGTTTAATGATTATGCACACATTTTAATAAAGCCAAATCAGTTTTGTAAGAAGTGAATACGTTCGTTGACTTAAGACATAACACATAATGCTGGGTACACACCATAAGATAATCGGGCTGATTTTGGGCTGATTTCTCCCCTTCCGACAATCCTAGGTAATGTCCCGATTATCTTGGTGGTTCTAAAGATTATCTTATCAGATTTTCCTGTGGTGTGAGGTGTGTTAAGAGTAACTGAATCTGCTCGGAAGAACATCGGAGGCGCCCCGATTGATCATTTTGGTGAACAAACTGAAAATGAACGAATCTCTTGAAAGAATCAAAATTCCCACCACTAGTTTATTCAGCTGCAGCAATAGGCATTTCCTGGATTTCTTCTTCGGGGCATATTTGGATTTTCCGCGCAAGAGCGCCCTCTGGCCTTCGGATGGAGATTTACTACTGATCACAGAACTGTGCTTCACTGAAAGATACGTATGACAATCGCAGCTTTTGCCTAATCGCGTTGTGCAAAAAAACTAAACAAAAATAAGTATATTTAACAATTTCTTCTCCTCAATGTCGGTTTTTGCTGAACATTCACGAGAGTACCACGACGTCGTCAAATATCTTAACTTGTGTTCAGAAGTTGAGCAGAGGTCTTACTGGTTTGGAACGACATGAAGGCGAGTAATTTATTACAAAATGTTCATTTTTGGGTCAGCGATCCCTTTTACGCCACCTGATTCAGATCACCAGCTCAATAAGCGAGGGCTCCATGAACTCAGCTGAGTGTGTCAGACCAGAGAGACATACAAAATGTGCAGAGCAGTGGGTCCCCAGGACCAGGATTGAAAACCTAAAATAATAAAATAAAATAAGATAAGATAAAATAAGGGGAGACGGTCTAGATGTAAATTGAATTCCATGTGGTCACAGCAGAATCATTTAAAACACATTAAACCAGGTGTAAATGGTAATGCGTCTCGGGCTGACCGCTTGTGATCGGATCAATGAAAATGTATCTCAAGTCAATACCAGGTGAAAACAGGGCCAATGAGATCTTAATCTTTTGCAAGCTATTCACAGGCCATGGTTTCCGCAATAAGATACTATCAAGAAGGTGCAAAAGAAATCCTAAATAAACATCTGAATTGTATTCAGGTTTAAATCAACAATTTAAATGACTGGAAGATTATAATTATTTTTAGTAAGAGTTGGAATGTAATTAGTTAATTCCAAACAGGGTAACATGCCCCATTATAAAAGTGTGTGCAACCAGGCATTTTTTTCTTTCTTAAAAGTTTCTATTTATCAGCTGAATGAATTTTGGAATTTTGTTGATTTCAATATTACATTAAACGTGGAACAAGGGTGAGCATGACTTTCAATACCCTCTGTATGTAGGTTATGTCAGGACAGGACCATTTAAACTGTAAATCTGTTTCACAGTAAAGATAATTGTCATAAATTGCCATGGCAATAATGTCACAAACATTATTACATTGCAGGCTTATTATTATCATATTACAGGCTTTGTTACCTTCTAGAAGAATACATTTTGGAGTGGAATATGATTCAGACATTTCTTTTTAAAGTTCACCCATTAGATGTTTTAAAAATCTGTCACAATCCAGTATTAATATTATAACTCAAGAATTTTTGTTGTTGTTGCTTGTTTTAAGTTTAGAAAAAAACAAAACAAAAAAAACTTGACTACGTGACTATTGATTCCACTTCTCAAACACAACATAGGCTAAACATTTTCAAGCTAGAGGAAGAGTGAGCACACCAAAAGTATTATCATGTGGTTTTGGGTTTCCCTTTCACTTCAGCAGCCCTGCCCTCTTGCCACATGGCCTGCCTTTTGTCATACCCACAATGCCTCACGGTTACCTTTAAGCCACTCCTGAGGACGGCTCCTTTTATGATCGCATAGTCACCTGATGCAACCTTGAAGTGCAGCAGAGTAAATGTAATGAGGCACAAGGTCAACACACATGCACACAAACATAGAGGCGCACACAAAACCTTCCACCTAGTAATCAGAATTCAGTATAATGCACAAACACAATGTAAATATAGCCAACGTCAAGGTCACAACAAATACTGATCAATCACCTAAATGTGAACCATCTGGCCTTCACAAGCATGTCTCTCTTTAACCACAATAAAACATCATAAACTTATATCTTTGAATTAGCATACGGTCTGTTAGCAAATAACATGTACATGTAGGCCTACTTTTCTTTCATAAAAAAAAAAAGTTTCAAATACATGCATATAGAACACATGTACATTTTAGATTTTGTAACTGGTCACCATCTCTGCACAACATGTATTATTCATCAAAGTTTTGTGTTATGTATAGTATTTTTGTCACCCTGATACCACCGACATGTGAAGCACCCATGGCATACAAATATGAAGTGTTCTGACACTAGAATATACCTAATAAACAAACCTCTACCTGTTTTGAAATGTCACATTAGCTTTAACAATATCGGTTTTTACATACAATTATTGATAGGCATTTTGCTACATACATGCCACATTAACACTACATTCTACTGCTACAGAGTACTGAATGGCAAACCATATGAGAGCACCTATAAACCAATACCAACAAAATCAAAAATAACACCGTACACCTTGACCAAGGCAAATCTGACACTGAAAGCGTTCAAATGCCCCAGATAATTGATCCTACATTATAAATGTTTTGGCATTTTATTACGTACTGTTTTAATCACTGAATGACCCGTGTTGACACTTTTTTTGTACCCCTCTATATACACGGGGGTGAACGGTAACTTCTCTTAATCATCTGTAACTTCCAACAGGCGGATCCCATATTAGTGAGGTTAACCTGCACGCAGACACACCCAACACCACCTATAACATTTATTTCAAACACCATATCTTTTCCAAAACTAGCGAACAACCCATTAAACCTCATACGCGCGTACTTTTAGCCCAAAACGTTGTCTAGCTATACAGCGCTCTAGATTTGACACACAGCCAGTTTCCCTCCTAACGTGGCCTGTGATCGAGCTTCGTTGTTGCATCTTTGCGAGATCGACAACTTCACAACTCGACCACAGCACACTTACTTTTCGTGGCAACAGAAAGCAAACGACAATTCGTGTTTTATCATCGAACGGCTCTTGGAAATAAATACGCCTTGAAGAGAACCACTGCGAAAACATCACATTACGAGACGAGAAGCCCGAGATAATGCAACAACTCGAAGCGTTTGTCGACATTAAGCAACTTCAAACGCAGCAATACATACCAGCTGTTCAAAGCACTCGAAGAAAACGCGTTGACATGTAGGCCAGTTGCAACTTCCAACCCGTCCACTCCGGCTCGAGCGAGTATAAACGTACACTCAGCGCGAGCGCGTTGGGTTTATTCCTGGAAACTTTGTTTCTGTCCAGCGCTAGTCTGTACAGCAGTAACTAGGCGCCATGTTTGTGTTTTGTTACTTCGGTGCGCTCTCGGGTTTCTCGGACTGACTGCTTGAAGGCGGATGGACCCGCCCATGAATGACTCGCTGCTCCACATTTCCTCTCTGCACATCATAACGCCCCATATCTAGACTAGTGCGCGCCATGCTTAACAGGTGGCTGGTATAGTTTTTCCCAACCCACAAAACATACAATTATACTTTTTCTCAGCCGATCAATGGTTGTGGTTCCTGATTGTACATTTGCATAAGTCAAAAGAAAACCAAATATAAAAAACGGTTTGCAAATAAAATGCTCTTTATTACAAAACATTAACAAACAATATTTCTGGCCAATATTTACCCTTAACAATTAGTTTGTACATACTAAAGTTTAGTATAGATGTCATAAGAATTGACATGGTTCAGACAAAATGAGTCGCATTAAAATGTTTTAACGTACTTGTTAATTAGGCTGATCAAAATCACATCAAGCTGCAAGTGAAATTCATGGCAGACACATTTTGCATCATACATGTAAAAAAAAAAAAGAAAGTTGTTTAAAGATATGTTAGTATTCATCAAGAGTCAAATTCACTAAACTGGGCAGGGTGAGTTTCTCTGCAGGAGGAGGGGAAAAACTCTCAAGCTTGTCCAAATCAAGAGAGAAAAGCCTCTCATCAGTAGTCCACTGGCTCAAACCTGGGCTCTTCCTTGCATGTACTGGGGACTTTTCAATATTGGAGTCGTTGAAATGAGATTCATCTAAAGAGGCCTCAAAGCACACCTGTGCTGTCAGTAAGGGAGTTTTTCCATCAAGACATTTAAATTCAACAGGTGATGAGATAAGTTCTTCCTCTCGCTCCTTGTTACTATAACGTACTTGTTAATTAGGCTGATCAAAATCACATCAAGCTGCAAGTGAAATTCATGGCAGACACATTTTGCATCATACATGTAAAAAAAAATAAAGTTGTTTAAAGATATGTTAGTATTCATCAAGAGTCAAATTCACTAAACTGGGCAGGGTGAGTTTCTCTGCAGGAGGAGGGGAAAAACTCTCAAGCTTGTCCAAATCAAGAGAGAAAAGCCTCTCATCAGTAGTCCACTGGCTCAAACCTGGGCTCTTCCTTGCATGTACTGGGGACTTTTCAATATTGGAGTCGTTGAAATGAGATTCATCTAAAGAGGCCTCAAAGCACACCTGTGCTGTCAGTAAGGGAGTTTTTCCATCAAGACATTTAAATTCAACAGGTGATGAGATAAGTTCTTCCTCTCGCTCCTTGTTACTATGGATCTCTGCGGAGCCATCACTGTTAAATGACAAGTCATCCTCAAAAAGGTCTGGGAGCTCCTCCTGAGCAATGCTGAATTTAATAACATCACTTGACCTTTGACTGTTAAGAGCCTCCAGTTGCGAGGAGTCCCATGACACAGTTGAGTGGAGGGTTGACCCCTGCTGGACAGGAGGAGTGCAATGGGCAAGAGTAGCTGAAAATAATAGAGAAGGTTCTGGACTTGGTCTGGTGCAAGGGCCATTCACCTCAGCCACAGGTGTCTTGAGCCAAGAAAGGCTGTCTTGCTGATTCCAAGTAGCTTGTTTCTTCTCAGTCATGCCTTCCTCCACAGCTTTTCTCCATGAACTTCTCACATCTTTGACTAGGGAGAGTTACATTTATTTAAAGACATTTCCAGTGAAAGTGACCTAAACATTTATAACTCAAATACTAATGTGTAGACGTCATCAAAAGACTTATACTTAGACTCTCAGGGGTGCGGCACAGCTGTTTCCTTGCTGAAAAGGGATCAGATATGACATTTAATAACTGTCCCAGGTCCACATCACTCCTTCCATTGACTGGACTCATAATCACTGCCTCTGCAAACTGAAAACCAAAAAGCAAAAGTAACCTTTTAACATTGCACATGCATTTGTATAACCTCTAACAGCGAAATGTCTGCTCCGTATCTGTCCGTGGCGATTTCTCTCAATTCGCATCGGTCATCAGAGAGCAGGTTTGATATAGGGAAAACTTGTGATGGGTAGAGCACTGCTCAGGACTGCCCATGTATCAGTTTCCCGGAGCAAATTGTACAAAACACTAAAACTACAATAACAGTAAGTTTAATATGTGGTAAATATTCCACATACTTGACTTGCCAAGTTGTCACACTCCAAATCTAGAATTTCAGCCTTGTTCTTTAGGACAGAGGCCTTCATCTTAGAGTGCAGATTTCTCCTGTGGGAAGCCTGTAAAAAGAGAAAGGAAAAATAGAATAAAAAAAATAAAATAAAAGATGGAATCAAGATAGAATTAACTGCTCTCCAGAGGGTCACCTGAGGCAGACCCATTTGTAGAACCTCTAACAGCAAAATGTCTGCTCCGTATCTGTCCGTGGCGATTTCTCTCAATTCGCACCGGTCATCAGAGAGCAGGTTTGATATAGGGAAAACTTGTGATGGGTAGAGCACTGCTCAGGACTGCCCATGTATCAGTTTCCCAGAGCAAATTGTACAAAACACTAAAACTACAATAACAGTAAGTTTAATATGTGGTAAATATTCCACATACTTGACTTGCAAAGTTGTCACACTCCAAATCTAGAATTTCAGCCTTGTTCTTTAGGACAGAGGCCTTCATCTTAGAGTGCAGATTTCTCCTGTGGGAAGCCTGTAAAAAGAGAAAGGAAAAAATTAAATAAAGATGAAATCAAGATAGAATGAACTGCTCTCCAGAGGGTCAACTGAGGCTGAAAAATATGCATGACCAGTTTACAAACATGCCGTTATCTTCTATGCTACATTATTTTCAGAGATAAAAGTATAATGCAAGCATACTTTCCATTATTTGCATGAACTTCAGGGGTTATTACAGAGAGCAGGGTTAACTTATCACAGACCCTAAAACACAACAAGGAATAACCTCATATAGCTCAGGGCATGTTCACAGTGAACACATTTTCAATATGCCGTTGAATCTAGGAGTCACCATGGAAACGGAGGCCAAGAAGAGAGTTATACTACTTGTTAAGTAGTCATTTACATTCTTAGGGCATATCACTAACTATCCGTTAACTATGCTCAAAGCCTCTTCAATAGGGCATGTATGCACCGAATACCTCTGAAGTAAACTAACTCTAAAACATAACCTGCCATGAATAAGTTGCTAATGTTCAGTTTTTGGAATAAAAATTTAGGTTATTGGTTTACTTATCCGTACACTTAACTCGATGTAGCATAACCTGCTTTCTGGAATACCCCATGATGTTGCTACCCATTTACACACTTATTTCTCCCTCTGAGATTAACAACCTGAGATGAAGTGTTTGTGCCAGCATGGATGTGGCTAATATGAAGAGGTACAAGCAGGAAAGTATAGAGCTTAACAATACAAAACTACCTGTATTGGACTGGGTGTCTGAGTCACAGACTTAATTTTAACCGGGTAAGTCATGGGAGTTTCACATGGTGGTGTGTCACAAGTCACTGGTTTTGGAGAAAAGCAGCTGTCAGAGGACAGCAAGACCCCCTTATATTCATCTTCCTCAGAAATGCTGTTGAAAAAAAAATGGTGGTTACATCTTTTGCTTTTATTCATTCATTCATGTCCATGAACTAATGTTATCTTTCCAGACTTTCTCCATTTAAAAACACTCAAATTGTGCTGTACGTTTTGATTTCTGGCTCCAGGTGGACTTCTGGTTCCAAATGGATGTCTGCCTCCATTCTCTCTGGTTTTCTTTGTGACGTTAGCAGTTCTCAAAAGTGAGGGAGAAAAGAAAAAAATATATATTACACCATATCTACAGAAGAAAAAAAAAAAAGTTACATAATGCAATCTTCCAAGCTGCTAACTTACCAGGTATTTTAAATGGATATTGTAAGATGATACTAGCCTCAAAGCTAGCCTTAGAAGCTGGCTCAAATGAGAGAGGAGCCATTGGGGAGACAAAGTCAAAAACCTGTTAAAGGTTACAGAGAGCAGATCAATCATACAAACAAAATCAGAACAATAACAATGATACACCAAACTAAATGTGTAACTTCTATATACCGTAGATACTGCTTTGTATAATCTGGACACTGCAATGTTTCAGAGAAGACAAAGTGACCTGCATGGCCAAATAAGCCTAAATAACCTCAATAGCTAAATCACCCACTGCATAGATTCAAAATCATTTAAGAGATAGCTCACCCAAAAATGAAAATGCTGTCATTTACTCACCCTAAAATTGTTCCAAACCTGTATGAATTTCTTTCAGCTGACAGTAGCTATTGACTTCCATAGTACTTTTTTCATATTATGAAGGTCAGTGACTACCATCAAATGTCTGGTTACCCACATTCTTCAAAACATCCATGTTCACTTCAGCAAAAGAGAGAAATTCATACAGGTTCTGAATCAACTTCAGGGAGAGTATATGACAACAAAATGTTAATTTTATGGTTGAACTATCCTTTTAATACCAAACAAAAGCAGTTATGACTCCATCTACGGCTAAAAACATCTCTTACATCTTTATTTGACCCTCTAACTCTAGCACTCTCTATTCTAATTTTATTCTTAAAAAAAAAAAAAAAACCTAACACTAGCTTCTCTAATCTTTTTTTATTCTATTTGTTTTCTTTTTATTTATTATACAATTAACAAAAGCAAAAAAGGCCTCTAACACTAGCTTGCTCTATTCTATACAATTTAAAAAAAACCTTGCTACGTGTACTGTGTTAAGCTGAGAGTTACAGCATTTGCATATCATTGCTCTTTTGTTGATTTTGATTGCTTCCATTGTCCTGATTTGTAAGTCGCTTTGGATAAAAGCATCTGCTAAATGACTAAATTATTTCAAATTAATTAATTATTACTTACAGGATCCTCTTTAAGATAAGAGATCAGAGGTGTTTTTTTCAAACACTCTGCCCACTTCTTCTCCCAGTCCTCCTCCAGCCTCCCAATGGAGACCTTCACCTCTGCTGCATTCTCTTTGATTAGTTTCCACCTGGAAAAGTATCACAAATCTTATCTTCTGAACACTTGAATTTAAGTGTTAATCTGAAACACTAAAATACTATATTCAAAAGGTAAACCAATATAAGTCCCCAAATTCATTGTGTCCATTCACTGCTTCGCATGCCTTTATACTTCAGGTGACTGTGAACCCAGAGGGTGTGGTCACAGATTTAAATTGCCAACACATGAATTAAATCAGATGCTGATTAATCATCAGAACTCACAAGTGACAATTTTTTTTTTTAATTCCCAATTAATTTTTATGATGAAATGACCAGGAGTTTTTCTGTTTGTTTGTTTTTCATTTTGTCTTTTATTGTAATATTTAACAAACAACTTTATTAAAGGACACTTAATTCTAAATGTAAAAGACACAATTTAATTTTTAAGATCACATTTATGGTACCTTATAAGCTTGAGGTTTTCTTTTGAGCGGCTGAAGAGCAAGGCATGCTCTTGGAGGTCTTGGTGTTGAAGCTGTACACTGGGGCCTACAATTTTCTCTCTCTCCTCTCTTAGGATGTGTAATCCCTCATTTAGAAGCTCCAGCAAACACACAAGGACAGGCTGCCCTCCCTTATACACGCTACCAACACTGGACTATGGACACAGACAGAACTCATTCATTGGCAAATGTTTCTACACCAAAATATCATGCTGACCTAACAAACTTTTAGGAAATACATGTTCATTAAAATGCATACCTTCTCTAACATGTTAAAAAAGTTTTCTTTACCCTTTCTGCCTATAGCTCTCACCTGGTGGGATAGCCTCTCCATCCTCTCACTCAGAACCGCAGGTATCTTGACGCTCAAATCATGCCCACCCAAGATGTACCAGTCTACCTGTCTATGGATCACACTCTCCACCACTTTTCGATCTACTTCAAGGGGGGATAAGACCCTGTCTGTCTCAGTCCAAAAGCCTCGCACCTGAGAATGTAAATTATCAGAAATGTAACAAGTAGTTATGATCAAAATGATAAATTATAGAAAAACTGAAAAGTAAACTTGGTGCAAACCTTTCGGTTTTTTGCAAGAATGTCTTCCTTCAAATCGGTGTTACTGTCATGTTCTCTACAAAAAAGAAACACTGTTTTAAGTGAAGTGAAAATGAAACCAATATTCTGTGCAATTTCAATTTACTTCCAACAGAGCTGTCAAATAAAATATTTTACAGATTTACTTAAGCAAGTGATCATATTTGGCATCTTCTGCATCAAGGTCCCTCAAAGATGTCTCCAAACCTCTGAAAAGTAAAAAAAATAAATAAATAAATAAAATAAAAAAATGCATAGATATGTAACTTTATCCTGAGTAGAGAATAAGATGTGGCAACAGTAGCTAAAATGATAGGAACACCCCCAGGTGTGCCAATTGTTTGAATCCCATATAGAAACAAGCTAAATCAAGTCTCTCGAGGTGTTGTGTCACTGGTGTTATATAAGGAATCTCCTATGCCATCAATCCTTTAACTTCAATGAGAAACGGCATCCCTTACCCAATACAATATTTGCCGTTTTGTGACGTAAGCCCCTTGAGACAGCAACCAAAGCCACTGGCTTGTGCAGTAAATTGCTTGGATAAGACTAAATAAATTACCATTTGAAAAAAATTGCAACACAAATTGCTTCCTGAAAAGTAAGAAATTTGAAGATGGCGATGACACAATGCTTTGATAGGTGGCATCAGTACCATCAGCCAATGAATTACTGTTTCTATACGAGCTTCAGACAAATCACCACACATAAGGGGGTTCCCATATTGTCATCTACCTATGCAGAATTGAGTGAATCTATGAAAGGCAAGTAAATAAAGTAAATGGTGTAAATATAAGATGCAAATAATACTTTCTATAATGTAACAATGATTCAAAAGATCTACAGTGCCTCTGAAACAGTAGGGGCTTTCGCACCAAGTAGTTCTAGAAATTTAGTTCTAGGAACTAACTAGCAGGGTGGTTCCTAGAGAACCGATTTCTCCCTCGGGCGGTTTTCCTGGTTGCATTCGCCGGTTGCAAGCAGAAACTTGAAGCGGCCAACAGCAAAGCCTTTATGCTTACATACGTCAACAACTGGTGAATTGAGGACGCCATGATTGGAGCTGTTTTTGTTGTGTTTTGGGTTTCGTGATAACGGAAATGGAATGTAAATGCACAATTTACGTGACTGAAAGAGCAAAATTTGGGCTAAGAGACGAAATCTCCTATGACAACTTGCAGTGTTACATATCGAGGCTGAGAAAAGAACACAACACTACAGACAACAGGTAAATGCCGTTATCGATGTTTTCCATGTTCATGGAGTAAGTATTTTTACATGGCTTTTTAAAAATGCCGGGTAGCCGGTGTTTCGTAAGCATTTGGCCAATCAGCGTACACTTACGTCACTGGTAGTTCCTATCCACCTTTTTCTTCAAAGCGGAAGTAAGCCTATGGGTGAGACTTCCGGTTCATTAGCCGCTATAGGTAAATAACGAGGAGAATAAGAACGTGCAGTAAATGGTAAAACTGTTTGCACTACAAACCAGTGTGTTCATAATTAAATAATACATTAAAATAATATAAGACACACCAACTTTCAATATCAAGCAGCAAAACGAACTGTTTTGTTCAGCTAAAAATAGCTGGACAGAGTGGACGCAGATGAGACCGGAAGCCAGACCCATAGAATTTACAAATGGCCGCGCCCATTTTTACGACAAGAAAAAGGTGGATAGAACTGTTTTAGACCCTATTCTGAAGTAGGAGGTCATTTAGTTCCTCCAAACGGAGTTCCTAGAACTAAAACCGTTCCTAGTTCCTGCAGTGCGAACACGCCAAAAAGCGGGTACTTCCGCCAATAGTTCTATGAACTATGAAAAGGTTCCTCCGATGCGAAAGCCCCTAGTAAAAAGGAAGGATTGCAGCCACTCACTTAGCTCTTTTCTGGTAGTCTTGAATGAGAAAGTCCTGCCCTACAGTCACTCTCTGGAATTGTCTCTTCACCAGGTGAAATCGTTTCATCTCCAGCTCCTTTGAACTCACTGGCACTGCAGCAGCCTCGGGGACCCAAGTGTCATCTAATTGTTAATGTGACAAATATAAAACACAATTATATCAATTAGAATACCCTCAACATGGCAATTTAATCCCTAAACAATACAAAAAAAAGCTTGATAATATACAAGGCTACATATTTAATGTGAGAAAATATTCCTTTTGAAATATTCCCTCCCCACATTTATAAGGAGACTGTGAGAGTGACCCCCCACAGTAATCTGTAAAAGTGAGATGGTGGAGTGCAATATGGAGCTTTCTGCTGAAGGCGAATTTCCAAAGAATTTTTTTTTAAAAACTCACCTTTGACAAAAGCTGTGAAGCTACGTCCTTCGAAGTGCGCATTTGAAGGCCAACTGCATCATGGCGGTGCGACCAAGCTGTCCCAATTCAAAGACCGCGTCCTACGAAGGCTGCGTTCCAGTCCGTTTTTTTATGCCCTTCACTCTCAAACTTCCCTCAGTCTCATTTACTCGGATGTACGTCAGTGACTACGTTTACATGGACATCAGTAATCTAATTATTTACCTTATTCTAAATAAGCTAATATTATGATTATGGTGTTTACATGAGTTGCTTTTAGAATATTCCTTTCATGTTCCGTTTTACATGTTATAGTACATAGTTCAATTAATGGCACACGTCATTACGCCCCCACGTGACGACACCCGACATCCCCTCCGGAATTTCACGTATAACCATATCGTTCGTCTTCGTGATGATGCCAAGCTTTTTGGGTGTTTCATTTTTAATTTTATGAAAGCTTCAAGTGCAGTTAATTATTTGAACGTGCATACAGACGATGGCTGTGGTGAAGCTCTTTTATTTGCCGTCAAACGGTTGAGTACTGCCGTGTGTGTATCCTGTCGGCGAAAAGTCCTACACGACGGTAATAATGTGATTAAGGTGTTTACATGTCTATACTGCACTTCAGTAATGCGACTAAAATAGTCTTAATTCGATTTCTGTTAACTTCGATTATGACTTTAGCCGGATCAAGGTAATCAAAAATCTCTGTTTACATGGTAGATTCTTAATCAAGAGTATTGTCTTAATCGTATTAAAAAATGGAGTTGTTGTCCATGTAAACGTCCTCAGTGATTACGTTGCATGAGTGCCCACTTCTGGCGGAACCCTTGCAACTGGAACGTCCTAAGCCCTTGATCACTTAGAATCAGCTATTCAGTTGGTTTATTGTTTAATTTTTTTCCCTTATGAATTTGTTTGGTGCAGCATTCTATATGTATATAGGTATGCCTGGACTGTTATAAAAGTAAAAAAAAAATCATATATTATAGACTTGTGTGGGGTGGTGATAAATGAAACACGATCTGCGATGACGTCACAATCGTGTTGCATTGTGGTCTCCACTTTTAGACATGCACTCGAGAACTTCCCTAAGCACTTCCCCTCGGGGGAATCCCCGCTGCCATTTTGAAGTGTGTTCCACTTCGTGAAGTGGACGAGGGAAGTTTATATGGACAGACCCTCGACCCCTCGATTTTGACAGAGGGAGCGAGTCTGCTTCATATGCACACTTCAGGCCGCTCCATAGACCACAATGCAACACTATTGTGACGTCATCACAGATCCCGTTTAATTGATCCCCACCCCAAACAACTCTATAATACATAAATTATTTTTTAAACATTTATAACAGCCCAAACATACCTATATACATATAGAATGCTGCACCAAACAAATTCATAAGGGAAAAAAATGTACACAAAAAAAAACAAAACTCCATAGCTGATTCTAAGGAATCAAGGGCTTAAGACATTCCAGTTCAGCCCATTCCAAGGGTTCCGCCATAAGTGGGCACTCATGCAACGTAATCAATGACACACATCCGAGTAAACGAGGGGGGGAGTTTGCGAGTGAAGGACATAAAAAAAACGGACTGGAACGCAGCCTGTTTCGCCAGCAAATTAAGGATACAACAGATGGATCCTTCGTAGCCTACCCAATCCCAGAACTCATAGCACGCCAGTGACGACGGGACTTTTATTCAAACAAAATAGCGAATGACAGTTCTGTGGCGGTCGACGAATACACTTATAAATATAAGTATTGTGTTTTAATTTACTCAAATAGCTAGTGAAACAAATGTTAAAAGTTAGGAGTCTTAAAAAATGTGAACGTAAACTAACAATACCACTTCACAGATTCATTTGTTAGGTGGTCTGAGGCAAAAGTTGTATTTATTAAATTGGGGGCTGAATTTGATAATTCCTTTACTTGGGACAAAAACTTGTGGCTCGGAGGTAAGGCATTACCCATCTGTAATATTTCCACTAGGACCTCTTGTGTTCACAACAATTAGCCCTCACCCATAAAGCCCACAACAATAAGACAAGTAGGCCTATAAGGCTACTTAATAAGTAGACAAGTCTTTCACTTGTATTTTCATTTTATTTCATATTTTATTTATATATACAGTGGGGAAAAAAAGTATTTAGTCAGCCACCAATTGTGCAAGTTCTCCCACTTAAAAAGATGAGAGAGGCCTGTAATTTTCATCATAGGTATACCTCAACTATGAGAGACAAAATGAGAAAAAAAAATCCAG